AGGGCCCTTTCAGAATCTGCTGTGGGAAGAAGACTGCCAAGCCCTAGACAGGCTAGTCTCCTAGCAGCTCCCTGCACAGGTGGGACAGCTCCTGGCTGCAGTAGAGAGGGGCTGGAGCCAAGGAAGAACCCCTTAATAATGCTGTGGAACAGAGGCTAGCACGCCAGTCCAGGTGACACAAATGAGTCTCTCTCTGGGTCCTGTGGGAGCAGTACTAAGGTGGTACCACAGCTGAAGGGGGTGGAAGCTGAATTACAGGATAACTTTAGGGTCTACTGCTGAGATCGATGTCAGTGGCAGATGAGCCTGTCTGCTGAGGCACTGGTGAGTGTGATTTCTTCAGACTTGTTGGCAGCTGTTTTCGGTAGCATGCTCATGGCCCAATGGGACTGCCACCAAACCCTTTAAGTAACGTGGCTGTTTTGGGGTTTGAACTCAGAAGTGTGATAGGCAGGTCTAGAACCAGTCATATAATATTCCTCTAACTGTCTGAAGGCCTTCACTGGTTTCCATTGTTTGTAGGAGGAAGTCCAAGCTCAACATGTATAGCCTGTGAGCCTACCTGGCTCTTCTGTCCCTTTAGTCTTGCTGGGAACTACTTTCTATGCTCGTGCTTCAGCTCTGTTGTACGACTTGTAGTGCCTTGAGTGGGCATATTGCCTCCTGTTTCTTGTCTTTGCACATATTGTTTCTGTGTCACTGAGCACCTTTCCCTCCTCCTGCCTTCTGTGCTTACCAGCACTTCATATTCTCTAGGAAAATCTTCCAACATGTCCCCAGCATGTCTGGGCTAGGCACCCGGTAACACCCTTGCCTAATCTTCCCAAGCAGTACTCATTCGATTCTGTAATTGCTTATGCTAGCTGCTCTCCACATGGGGTCTGAGGTCCTGCGAGATTCCTTCAGGGCTCCGAGGTCAAGTCGAGAACTGGGTTTTTCTACTGTAACATCTAAAAGCATCTCGTTTTACGAAGCAGCGGGACTTGTTGGAGAAATAGGAATGGGCGTACTACTCAAAGCCTATACAGCTTTGTAGCCAAGTGCTACAGAAACAATAGCAATTCTAATAAAATCACAGTCAGTCCTTCACAGCCTTAAACTGTAGGGTTCATCATTCTCCTTTAGCGTTTAGGCTCTGGGGGACAGTTTGCTTCATGCAGATACAATTTTTATCAAAGTTTAAAAATCTGAACCTGAATATAGACTTCTTGATTAGTTTGTTGTTTTAATTCTGGGAGAAATGTCTTAGCACTTTTTCATCTGCATTCATAGCTTTCCCAGATAATTTGAAGCCTCCATACCTAATTGCTTTATAGGAAGGTATTCTAAAAGTTTCAGCTTTTTGCCTAAAGTCTCATAAGTTGCTTAAGGATATCTTTTTAATATGAAGAAGATTGTTCCTTTCGATTCATTTAGAACATGAGTATATGGTGTGAACTACCACGACTTTCTCAGTAAACCCACATCATTGCCAGGTGCGGTGGCTCACGCCTGTAATCCTATTACTTTGGGAGGCCGAGGCGAGAGGATTGCCTGAGCCCAGGGATTTGAGACCAGCCTGGGCAACTTGGCAAGACCTTGTCTCTAGGATAAATAAAAAAATTAGCCAGGTGTGGTGGCATGCACCTGTAGTTACAGCTACTTGGAAGGCTGAGACGGAAGGATCACCTGGGCCCAGCAGGTCAAAGATGTGGCTGTGAGCATGCCACTGCACTCCAGCCTGGGTGACAGAGTGAGACTTACAACTCAAGAAAAAAAAAAAAAGCCCTAAAAAAAACCCCACATCATTAACCTCTATACTATGTATATCAGATAATTTATATCAAAGAAACATGCATTGTAGTAGATTGTACCTTTTCTGGAACTTTTTTCCTAACTGCTTCTCTTCTTGTAACCTTTCTTCTTTCTTTCGGACCTGTTTGTCTGTCTCTCCTATTAGACTATAGAGAAAGGAGTCTGGGCTATCCAGTTTCACATTTTGCATTGCTTTTTTTCCCCCCTCAACCTTCTGAGTACCTGGTCCATTGTTTTAGATCTGAAATAAGCCTTTCTGTACACAGATTACACTGCATAGGCTGCACCTTCTAAAATGGAATTACTCCTCTTTTGTTAAAGTCTTTGACTGACTCTCTGTCGCCTGTAGTAGATGTTCTTAAATTAGGGTGGACTCCTAGGTTTCTAGGAGCTCAGGAGCCTTCTGAAATTGTCGGTAAAACTTATGATTCATTCAGTTTTTAGTGGGGAGTGGTCCATACGTTTGGCGAAATTCTCAAAGGGGTCTGGGCTTTAAAAACAAAAATCACTTGCCTGCAGGATGAAGATCATTATGGTGCTGAAAAGTGCCAACTGCAGGTAATTTCTCAGAAGCACATCTGTCTCAGTTCAGTGCCACCTGTTAACTCAGCTTACCATTTCCCCTCTCCTTTTAACTGTTTCACACAGTGCATTCCTTTAGGGAGACCATTCATCCCTGGATTTAGGCCTCTTTTTGGGTTTCTTGGGCTCTATGCGTTGTAGCACTCTACTTCTTTACAGATGGTCTCTCACCTAAAGTGGACATGCCTTTCCCATAGGCGTCTTGTAATTTTTAATGAGATACAGTTAACACACTTAGCACAGAGTCTGTCAGTAAATGATGGTAGTACTTGTTCACTTGATTTTGTTTTTCCTCTTGGCTCTTTTCACCAAGCATTTGAGTTGTGTAGAAAAGACGACGTTTGATTGTTGCTTTGCTTTGACAATTTTGAGAAGAATGGAGTTCAGAAGGACCTAAAAAGGATTGGGCCCTTCTTCAATCCTAGAACTAACACAAAGGGAGTAATTTTTCATACTAATATTGTGGCATTTACAGAAGAGCAATTTGTTAAATGTTTATGTGTCATCAGAATTGCTCTGTGTTTATTATTTATTTTATATGTTAAGATGAGCTCTGGTTTTGTTGTCCAGGCTGGTCTCGAATTCCTGGCCTCCCAAAGGCCTCTTAAATGCCTGTAATCCCAATTACAGCCATGAGCCCCCTGCGCCTGGCCTTATGAAATAATTAGGTAGGTACCACACTAGATACTGACAAGACTATCTACCTCTCTAGTGTAACCACTTTTTCTTTCACCTTAGGAAAAGATTTACTCTTTGAGTACCAGATGAAAAAGTTAACTTGTGTTTAGAGGTCAGGTAACTGAAGAAATTCCTGAATTGGACTCAGCAGGTTGAGATGTTTGAACTATAAAAAGATGCCCAAACTAAGACGGGTTGCAGGAACAGTGGGTCGGCATCTTCCATTGTACTCTACGCTATAAAAATACTTACTGAGAAGGGCGCTTGTAAGCCCTTGTACTTTTTGAATTATACCTTTTTTGGATTGGAGCGGGGGTAGAACCGGCCAATTTGGTGTAAGTGAGTTTGAGTAAATTAAGTATGAATGTGGTATGAGTTCGCAGTATTTCCTGTACTCAGAAAGTTTTTAATGCAGTCACAGGAAAGGACAAGAGGGGACATAGACAGAGGCAGTGTGGAGTCTCTGGTGAGGGAGGTCTGCCAGCAGCTCCAGGCTCTGAGGATCCCGAGGACACTGAGGCCCTGGTTGTCTTTTCTGAAGTCAAGAGGAGGAGGACAGCTTCGTCAGCGATGTTCACCTTTTAAAAAATTTAACAGTTTGTCTTCTAGGTTGAGGTCTCATTTCCAAAGAGTTAACTGTTTTAACTCTTATTTTTGGCCCTGGGTATTGCAGTTTTCACTTTTCCCCTCTTCTGATTTATTAATTCAGAAATTGATACGTGAGCTTACTTAATGGCTATAGCTTTGATGACATTCAGGACATAAAGGGTATTACAGTGACAGCTAAAAAAAATAGCTACGATTGAATAAAGCTTAAATTGTGTGTTCAGTATTATGTATTGAAATTATTTAGTTAATCTAATTGCATTTGAAGATGCTGAGTTTAATCTGTTAAAGATTATTGTGAAAATTTGTGGTCTCATTCTTGATCACAAAAAGGTTTACAAAACAAAATAATCTGTGTGTGGGTATGCATATGTGTGTATTATGTATTAAACATGTGAGTCTGGGCTTTATTTTGCATCTTATATTAACATTTGAATAATATTGTTTTTATATTAGCATTTGTGTCATACATTTCGGAAGTGTTAGCAGTTTTTAGGTTTGGGAATTTTAAAGCAATCAAGTACTTGCTAATTAAATTAGGGTTACTGTACTGTAAGGAAACCATGTGGCTTAGTGATTAAGAGTATGGTTTCTGCCGGGCTCGGTGGCTCGGCCTGTAATCCTGTGCCTTTGGGAGGCTGAGGTGAGTGGATTGCCTCAGCCCGCGGGTTCGAGACCCGCCTGGGCAACTTGGCGAGACCTCATCTCTACAGTAACTCAAAAAAATTAGCCGGGCGTGGTAGTGCGCGCCTGTAGTTCCAGCCACTTGGAAGGCTGAGGCGGAAGGATCGCCGGAGCCCAGGCAGGTCGAGGCTGTGGTGGCCGGGAGCGGCCACTGCACTCCAGTCTGGGCGACAGAGTGAGACTCCAACTCAAAAAAAAAAAAAAAGAGTATGGTTTCTGAATCCAAAAGATGTAGAAATAAGTCCTAGTCTTGTCGCTTTCCAGAGCTGCGCTGTTCAGCATGGAAGCTGAGGTGTTAAGTGTTTGAAATGTGACTAGGTTGACTATCTGAACTTTAAATTGCGTTCAGTTGTAATTCATCGAGATCTAGGTAACCATGTGAGGCTAGTGGCCATCATAATGGGCCTCATCGTACAAGAGGACATAACTCCTCAGTGTCTCAGTTTTCCCATCTGTACATATGAGATTATACTTAAGCTACTTACCTTTTGTGGTGGTTATAAGATTTGAATTAAATAAGATATTGAAGGAGCTTAAAGTCCTTGAGAAGTGTCTGGAGCAAAATATGTCCTTGAGAAGTGGTAATTATGACATATTTAAGAAACTGGAATTATTTTTAAGCATTCGTTTAAAACTTTATTTTTATTCTTCCCTTTCAGGATTAATTTGTATTTGGAAATCAAGTGCAATATTGGAAGCCATTTCTACTAGTTTTATTGCATTTTTAAATGTATGATTTGATTTGAATCCTATCATGGGAGGAGCTGTGAGTGCTGGGGAAGATAATGACGACTTAATTGATAACTTGAAAGAAGCACAGTATATCCGCACTGAAAGGGTGGAGCAAGCCTTCAGAGCCATTGACCGCGGGGATTACTACTTGGAAGGCTACAGAGACAATGCTTACAAAGATTTAGCCTGGAAGCATGGAAACATTCACTTGTCAGCGCCTTGCATTTACTCTGAAGTTATGGAAGCGTTGAAACTTCAACCAGGATTGTCTTTTCTTAACCTGGGAAGTGGAACCGGATATTTAAGTACAATGGTGGGCTTAATTTTAGGTAATTTTGTTTTTGTAAAATTCTATTACTGTTCATGATGTGTAGGGTTTGTAATTTTGTGTATCATATATTTGAATGTATATTCTCAAAGTAGTTATTTCCCTTTATTTTTATTTATTTATTTATTTTTTGAGTTGGAGTCTCACTGTGTCACCCAGACTGGAGTGCAGTGGCCGCTCCCAGCCACCACAGTCTTGACCTGCTGGGCTCCGGCTATCCTTCTGTCTCAGCCTTCCAAGTAGCTGGAACTACAGGCGCGCGCTACCATGCCCGGCTAATTTTTTGGATTTGTTGTGGAGATAAGGTCTCCCCAAGTTGCCCAGGCGGGTCTCGAACCCACGGGCTCAGGCATTTCACTCACCTCAGCCTCCCAAAGCTCAGGATTATAGAGTGAACCACCGAGCTCGGCTATCTCCCTTTCTTAGAAGTGAAGACACAAAGTAGCAGTCGTCTTTTCTTGTTCCTAGCCGTGACCCTGATTGTCAGTTCCCACAAACGATCCTAGACTTGCAATAGCTTGTGAAGCTGTCCTTCAGTCGCCAGTTATTGTGCTTAAAATAGAGCAACTGATAGGCAGGAAACACAGGAGTATTCGTTAACCTATTTCAGGTAAGGTGTTCTGGCTGCCAGCATCAAGCTGGAGAGTTACCAGTGTCCCCTTGTAAGTGGTCAGAGAATTGTGCCAGGTTTCTTTTCTTTTTGAGAGAGACAGGAGTGTATAGGGTATAGTAGATGTGGCACTGGTGGAGCAAAGCAAGGGATTGGAGAAAAATATGGAAGAGGGAAGTATATATTCATTAAACTTTCAGCATACCGAGTGTCTGCTCTCCTAAGCATTGTTCCTGGTGTGAGCATAGAACAGTGATCAAAGGGGCTAAGATTTGTGTCTTCGAAGGGCTTACTGGGTGTTTACTCTGAGAGCTATGTTGTACTGAGGATCAACAACCGTGAGGTTTACTAAGTCATTCAGTGCAGCCACCATGTTCACTGTGTGGCTCACATTAAAGTAGAGCATTAAGGCCCATGGCATAGGCTCCTGCCCTCGGGTTCACAAACTAGGGTGTGGGGGTGGTCAGAGGACCTCAGAAATCAAAGCCCCCATCAAGTGTAATAAGTGCTGTAGTTGAGGAATGTGCCCAAGTTATAGGAAGTTAGGGTATAAAATTCATTCCAAAGTGATGAGGAATCATTGAAGAACTCTAAATAGACAGTGACGCCTTCTAGAAAGGTGACTGTTTCACGGTGTGCTGGGGGCAGTTCTGGTTTATCATTGTTATCCTAGCATCAGTATTAATAAGGCCCTTTCATTCTTCTTCAAAATGTCCCAGCTTAGACAGTAAATTATGTGATCACGTGATGTGACTTTTAATGCGTTTTGGGGGCCTGGAGTGCCTTTTCCTACACATTAGCTGGAACCTGCAATCTGTTTCATTTAAAAAGTGGAGAGGGGGCCTTCACAACTGAGTTCCTGGTACCTGGTACAATAACTGTTCAAAAATAGTAGCAAATTGTTAATTTTTACCAATAAAGAGAGATTTAGAAGCATATGTGTATGTATATGAACGTGCCACTGCACTCCAGCCTGGACAACGGAGTGAGATTCCGGAGAGATCAGTCCGTCGCCCAGGCTAGATTACAGTGGCAAGTTCATAGCCACCCCAGCGTTGACCGGCTAGACTCAGGTAATCCTTCCACCTCAGCCTTTCAAGTAGCTGGAACTACAGGTGTGCACACTATCACGCCCGGCTAATTTTTTCATTTATTGTAGAGATGAAGTCTTGCCAAGTCTCCCAGGCTGGTCTCGAACCCCTGGACTCAGGCAATCCTCTTTCCCTGGCCTCCCAAAGTGCTGGGATTGCAGACTTGAGCCACCGCGCCTGGCCAGCTTATGCTTAAATTTGGTGTTCCAAATCATGAACTTCACAGCAACCTGGATGAACTTAGAGTCTATAATACTGAGTGATCTTTCACAGAAACAAAGAGCTGAGTCTCACATGTTGTCACTCGTAAGCGAACCTTGACCAATCATGTAATACTCTAAGAAAAGGATTGGCGGTAATGGGAAACGGCGGGGAGGGGAGCAGGGAGGCGGGATTGGCAGTGGTGGGAATCTGCTCGGGGAAGGGAGGGGGGCCCACGCAGCATCAACAAGGGGACATACATAATGAATGTTTTTATACCTAAACCTGACCTGAATTGTACCCCACACTTTTAAAATAAAATAGTAATAATAATCAAATAAATTTGGTGTTCCTCCCCCTCCTGAGATAGGAATTTCTGAACTGGTTGGAGCTTCCAGATGGCTTCTATCACCAGAGTCCCTTGGAAAAAGAAATCTCTAGGATGTGGGATGGCCTTCAAGTCAAAGGAACCTATTGGGGGAGTGAGAGAGCTGCTGCTTTTGAAACATGGGAATTGCTGTCTTTGAACCAATACGTTTCTTGACCAGCTCTGGCAACTCTAGGCTGGAGCCAGGCCTCATACCATGTCCTGTCAGGCCCAGAGTGCCTGTTTATTCTGTCTTCTTATTCTCCAGCACTGCCAGCGGGCTCCTGCTGAGGGATGTCAGTCTAGCCAAAGTCAGGGTCGGGGATGTGTGTGTCATAATTAGCAGTCTCTCTAGCAATGAGATTGCCTTCTCAGACGTACTGCTTAGTCCTGGTCTCCAAGACATTAGATTCCTGTGGCCAAAAGGTACTTGTAGGCAGATCCCAAACTTTATTGAATCTCGCATGTCTTTTAATCTATACCATAGGGGAGTGTGGGGACATAGACCGTTGTGTAAATGATCCATAGTGCACAAGATATTTTCTTTCTGTTTACAGAGCTCTAGAGAGTCATGGACCTTTTTTTCATTTAAATTTTTTAATTTTAAAGATGTGGGGTACAATTCAGGGTTAGATATAGATGTTCATTCTGCAAGTTTCCTTGTTGATAAGGTGTGTCCCCCTCCCTCAGCAGATTCCCATTACTGCCAGTCTTGCCTCCCCCACCCCTGGATCTTTTACATATGTGACCACGACACCTGCATACTATTCCAGGATTTATCTTTGTGTGATCCTGCATGGTTAAGACCAAAGCATAGTTGTCCTTTTGATTAGTAATATTCATTTTGTAAGAATAATATTTTACAAAAGGAAAGAGTAAGAAGTCTGTATAAAACTATGATTACAGCTAATCTTGGATTCACCAATCTTATGAAGCAGCTATTCTTTTTTTTCTTGCCCTGTTTTTTTGGTTTGTGTTTTAAGTCAAGGAGGAAAAGATTAGGGTTACAGTGCTTTGGTGGGTTCTTAGTGTTGCTAGCTGGATGGTAAGACTACAGAGGAGGCCAGGTGTGGTGGCTCACGCCTATAATTTTAGCACTTCGGGAGGCCAAGGTGAGAGGATTGCCTGAGCCTATGTTTGAGACCAGCCTGGGCAACTTGGCGAGACGTCATATACAGTAAATCAGAAAAGTAACTGCGTGTGGTGGCACGTCCTGAAGTTCTAGCTACTTGGAAGGCAGAGGCAGGCGGAAGGATTATTTGAGCCCAGCAGGTCGAGACTGTGGTGCCGCTGCACTCCAGCCTGGGTGACAGTGAAACTCCGACTCAAAAAAAAAAGATTACAGAGGAAGAGGATTTCTAAAACTCGCCTTGCTAGCACAGACCTCAGCCAGATGAAAGAGAACCAAGCTAAGGGTGGCGACAGAGAACCCTTTCTTTTTGCCTTTATGCACTTGCCTGCTCTTTCTCTTTGTCCCTCTTCCTTTAGTGAGCTGTGATTTACGTAAATTGACCCATGTAAGCGTGCAATTCAGTGAATTTTGTGTATTCACGGAGTTGTGCAAACACTGCACAGTCCAATTCGAAAACACTTCCATTAAGCTGAAGAGACCCCCTATGCCCAATTGCATCCACGCTACAGCCCCGGCAGCCAGTTACCAACTTTCTGCCTCAATAGATTTGCCTTTTCCACACATTTTATATTGACTGACTCATTCAACATGTGATCTTTTGCTTCCATTTTCTTTTACTTGGTGTTATATTTTCAAGGTTCACTCATACAGTAGCATATATGAGTATATTCCTTTTTTTTTTTTTTTTTTTGAGTTGG